GAATGTTCTACTTCTTGCTAGAAATAGGTTACGCTGGTATATAAAATAGAGGATTGTAATGTGTGTGTAGATAGTGAGGAATTGAACTGCAGTCGGAAGTATTATTGACGTTCGTTGTTACAGTGTTGTTTTAGCGCGAGTATCGAGATTAAGTGTATCGCAGAGTTATATTCGGAAAGAATAAACCAGTTTTATTAAGTAAAGAACTTGTGTCGCTTAAGTTTCGTCGGAACGAAGTAACGGAAAATTAATTAACACACGGAGACGTAACAATATTCCATTACTGTTAATACCATGGTGGCTCAGTGGTAAACTTTATGGTGTTGTTACGTCTCTGGTCGTTAGTTAATTGAAAAAAAAAAAAACTCATCAGTTACTTGACCTATCTTTATAGAATTAGCAAATACAATTTTACTAAGAAACTTTTGCTACTTTGACTATCCACAAAACAAAAGTTGAACCCGTCATTCTGAAGTACTTCTCATAAGAACCTAAATTTATTTTCCAGATAGTTTTATGTTATCAAGGGTTCAAGAATACGATTATATTTGAATATTTAAATTAATATCAAATTACTCAAATCTAATCTCACTGTTACTTTTTGAATCTGTATGGCAGAGGACAGGTGTCAAAACTTAATTAATATTTGTTATTATTTCAAATTATTTTGAAAATCTCATGCTGTTTTATGTTATAAATGCCAAATTGCATCTGAATAACTTTATAAAATTTGTGCAGTTCAAGGTTATGTTAAGAGTATTACAATCTCATCCAACTAAGCAATAAGCTTTATCTCCTTAAATGTCTGAGCTTTTACGTTCCAAAGTTCATGCAAAATCGATATATACATATCTATAGAACACACACACAGATATATATATGTACATATATATTCCAATGAAATGTGTATAATGATATTATTACCCATGTATTGACAGTATTTATCGTTTAAAAATTCCCAAAATGATAATAAAAGTTGCATCACTTTTCAATAACCAATGGAGATGCTTCTAATTCTGCACGCGTTCTCCAGCGTTCGACGACGAAGACAGTTAGCGATAAAAGAACAAAGTGAAAAGGAGTAGTAACATCAGAGAAAGTGGACGGAGGTTGGGAGAGTTTTTAACTCTATAAAAGTAATTCCATCATCAAAATCATGTCAGAACCCGAAAAGAAAGAAGTTGATAAACCAAAGACTGAAAAAGTCAAGAAAGTACTTGGTAAATTTAAAAAAAGTGAACGACAGCTAATGTTTTTTATATGACTGTGTGTAACTTAGGCCTAAACTCGGATTAGAAATTAGAATTCAGTAAACATGCGTAGGCCTAATGTTAACCCTAGTTTACTATATAATAAAGTGAATTACTAAGCTATTAGTATTACTGTTGCCAAACTATTCAGTATTCTCCAATATTAAAATACTGTTTAAAATATTTGAATAAATGTGACGATGATCTTGAACACTAGTGATTTTCTTGAATATATGAATAGGTTAAGATCTTTTTCATTCTTGAGCAAAGGGTAAGACTAAGACTAGTGCCTAAACTTTAAAATTAAAGTCGTTGTCTTCTTGAAACTGAAAGTGAAATATATCTTAGTGTTAGGACTTGCGTGTTAAGATTATATGCGGATCAATAGGATTAATGCTTCCGAGTTTCTTATACCAAAGATTACAATGATATGATGAGAATACACGTTTGTCTCAGCTCCAGATAGGATAATTTATATCCCACAGTAATACTAATACTCAGTATTACTAATAGGGTGATTAGCTTTTAGTCTAGTAGTATTAGTTGTGAAGACTGGTACCTTACAATTTAACAATAACTTAAAAGGGGAGTCACTGACTTCTTAAGAAACAAATGAAGGGTTTAAACATTAACTCTTTTTCTTGGAATTGGATTTGCAGGAACAAACTACTGCTTTTTATGGTATTGCTTTTTATGCCAAAACACACACATAAATAGCAATGTAATTTGATTCTTTGTCATTTTTTAATTTTCAATGTTAAATTTGTCACATTTTGTTGCATACTTCCTTTCTTTATTTTGTTTTACTGTCTTATTCAAAGTCGTTGTTTCTTGAATTAAATTTCATAAAGTAAATATTTTTACCTTAATTTTAGCTGAACTGTTAGCATCAGAGTCATGGTTAAAAAAATTAAGGTAATATAAGTGAAACATAACCATGTTTCTGGCTGTGAATGGTATCATATTTACCAAATAGTGGAGGATTTTGACATAGGTTGAATCAAAGAACTTTGTCAAATTTGGTAGTTCAGAATGTATCAGGTAAGTGTCAAAAGGAAAAATACAAAGCTTGTGTTCTTCAGATTTACTTGTTTGGTATGAGAAAGGAAACATTCAAGTATATTTATAAAAAAGACAGCATATTATTGTAGAATGTTGGGAGAGTAACAGTTATTTTAGGAAGATTAACTAACATTGATGGCTATTTGTCAATGCCGGAAACATAAATCTCAAAGTTTCTTTATTATGGATTTAATTTGGATGGGAAGAAAATGTGCTTTGTGGGCTAAAAACATGAAAAGTAGGGATTGATGAGGTTATTCCATTATTGAAATAGGTTATTATATTGGCTTAACAATAATGGAAATGCTTGTGTCTAATGAAATTTTGTCAAGATATGAACAAGTAGAAAGTTAAATAGTCTTATAAAAATTAATGTTTCATCTATAGTGTAGCTATTTCATAACATCAAGTATTGTTTCTTTGATTCTGATTATTTCTGTACTTTGAAAGTGCTAAAAAACCTGAAAAATAAACTTGCATTTTCCTCCCCAGTTTTTAAAGATGCTTCATTAAATTGGATTGTTAATAGGTGACAAAAATGTATTTTAATTGAAAATGTAATAAGGAGCACTTATTTTATAACTGAGAAATAAGAATTAGCATAAATTTGGCAGCAGGAATATTTCAAAATTTGTTTTGTGCTGTTAGGTATTTCTGATTTTTGTGTTATGGTATTAATTTATGAAGTTTTATCTGATGAATCTGGTTTTGATAATTTTTTGTCACTGCTGAGAGCACTGGATTATCTTGTTTAAATTCCTTTCTTAGCCAACTGTGAGATTTGATCTGGAGCAAGCAGCATTTCTCAAACTGGGGTCCATGAGTCATGTCCTAAATTTCGTAAATATTTAAGAAATATGACTTGTATAAGATTTTTTTTAAATTAAATTTATGAATTAAAACATTTTGGAATACAGCTTTTTCATGTACATGAATCTTTTTTTCAAAACATTGAAAGGTTTGGGAGTCCACAAAAATTTTAAATTAAAAGAGGTCCTTGAATTATTAAAGTTTGATAACTTATACTGTATTAGAGTATTGAAACCAAACCTAGTAATTAGGAGAAAGGGAATATAACTATTTATCTAAGAAAACTTATTAGTTGAATTTGATAATTTGGAAGAATTTCTATACTACAGTTCTAATTCCATCAAAGTCTTGATTGAAAGAACAAATAAGAGCTAAGCATACAAAAAAAAAAAATCAAGAATAGAAATTTGAAAATGTATATTTTAATTGAAGTTACCATTTCATAGATAAAGAAACAAAATGTGAGTTATCCTGATCAA